ACATATTAATGTTTATATGAACTACCAAATAATTGTGGGTTTTAAGGGCTTCATATTTATAAGCATTCTGTGTTTATTTCAAAGGTGAATGATAGTATAGATTTGTGATTGATTGCTGAAATACAATTGTAAAATAATTAATAGCTTGCCTTCTATTTTTATAACCATTTGTCTTAGTTATCTAGTGCTGCTATAACAGAAATACAAAGAGAAATGGCTTTAACAAAGAGAAATTTATTTCCTCACAGTAAAGTAGGCTAAAAGTCCAAACTCAGCGTCAGTTCTGGGGTAAGGCTTTCTCTCTGTCAGCCTTCTCATCAATCTTCCCTCAGACTAGGAGCTTCTCCGCTCAGGGACCCTGGGTCCAAAGGACACGCTCTGCTCCTGGCACTGTTTTCTTGGTGTATGAGGTCCCCCCTCTCTGCTTGCTTCCCTTTTCTTTTTACCTCTTGAGAGATAAAGGGCGGTGTAGGCCACACTCCACGGAAACTCCCTTTACACTGGATCAGGATGTGACCTGGATCGGATGTGACCTGGATAAGGGTGTTACAATCCCACCCTAACCCTCTTTAACTTGAAATTACAATCACAAAATGGAGGACAACCACACAATACTGGGAATCATGGCCTAACCAAGTTGACACATATTTCTGGGGGACACAATTCAATCCATGACACCAATCTTTCAAAAAAAAAAAGAGGATTTCTGGAATTCTAAAACATAGTGTATCTTGATGGTTTCTAGATTCCATCTGAGAATACCTGTTGATGCGAAGAATTGATGTTCAAGATGTAGGTTTACCTAACAAAGTATTTGCCATTGGTTCTGTTACCACTTAAGGTGGATTCACAAAAATACACTCTGGAACAGAGCAGTCAAAATGTCTCTTCATTTCAAACTCTTTTTTTGGCAGGGGGTGGGTATACAGAGATGCTTCAAGGCAGCCAATTCTTTCTTGCTACCCTAAACAAAACAATCTCTTTTTGCTAATTACTGAAGAATATATACCTTCATAACATTAGGAATAAATAAATATCTTACCTAGGCAAAAAGGCTAAAAAACATACCATGTCTTTTCTCCTTCTCCAGCTTCCTCAGGGACACAAGAGTCTATATTTTGGAATGAATTGTCATCATATAGTCAATGCTCTCGTATGTCTTTAGATGCATTTCTTAATCAGACTAAAGATTATGTAAAATACTTTTAAATTCCTAGAAGAATCATACTGATAACTAATTATAAAGACCCCAGTGATTATTTTGTTGAAGTATTACATATAAAGTCTAATGTATACACATCTCCTCTATTCTCTGGTTTATTTTATAACTTTGGCCACATTTTCTACACCTCTCACCCTTTTCTTTAATAAAAGAGCAAAAATAGTGTTAACACATATACTTGCAAGAGATATGCAATATGAAAATTATACTACTCAGAGCTAGAATAAATCTTTTATCAGAAATTGGAAATTAAGCATCGAAAGCCATAACATAAAATTATACATTTAGCAAAGACAATCTGAAATATATACAGGCACTTTATTTTCTCTGAACATATCTAATGGCTCCAACCCTAACAGCCCTTGAAACAAACTCCTTACAATCTTAGTTTCTATTCTAATGAAAAAGATCAAGTCCTACAATAAATCCCAAGAACTCATCAATTTAACTATTTTCATAAATACTGTTATCACATCATCAAACACTGAAATTCATACACAACTTTAAAAGATTTTGTAACATGGCTGTCAATCATTAGGGGCAAGTGAAGCTCCCGAAGAATTCAACCAGAAACTAGAGGGAGAAGGGGAGGGAGAGTACCATGCTTTCAAAGTATAAATGTTTATGAAGGTAAGATACAGTACTCAGATTTTTAAATATTAGAATCTAACATAATGTCTACTGATGAACTAAGATTCTTCTACCTTTATAAACTTGGTGTCATAGCAAGCTCCTGTGATCTGGGAGCAAGTGCTTTCTAAAACATATAAACAAACAACAACAAAAATAACAATACTACACTGCCAAATTTTTCTACTTCACTAATTGTTTATTTACTCTTTCAGTCAGAATTGCATTCAGCTATGTGACAAAAATATGACTAAAATTGTTATTGTTGTGTGCTGTTGAGTTGATTCCAACTCATAGCTTAACCAAAGAAGAGTTTTTCTCATCAAACAAGAAATTTGTAAAATAATCACTACTGACCAGTCCAGTGCCAGTTACTCAACAAGGACAACAAGAACCTAAGAATATTCCTCCATCTTTAAAAAAAAAAAAAGTCTCTCGACCTAAATTTGCTGACGAGCTACCCTTCAGTCAATACTAATTTTAGTTCAATGAACCTAAAAACTAAGGTTTTAGAATGGATCTTCAATGTGAATGCTGAAGTTATCCCAGATGACTAGGGTGAAAAAAGAGACAGTCAGGGACCACATTCTTTGATGAATAAAAAGGAATGAACGCGAGTTTGAAAGATTTCATCAATGACAAGGAGTAGAAGGTAGTATAACCAAATTCCAGAAGCCTTGGAAACAAAGAGGTTTTCACGTAAGAGTGAAGGAATGATGGTATTAAAGGCAGCATTATGGACCACTTCTCAACACTGGGAGAATGAGCAATCTTCTCTTCAGAGGAAAGTATGCTTACCAGAATGAAATTCCAGAGGGCACAGTGAAAAAGTCTGAGAGGATAGAGCTGCATGAGGCTGGGTTAGGGAAGTGAAAACACAGTAGAGAATGGATCTGCTATATATAACATAGTATAAATATGACATACTACTCGGAGGAGAGAGCAGCAGCACGGGGGACTACAGCTCACCAGAAAAAGACAGACTAGGCCTGCACTGGTCTCATTTCCAAGAACTACAGGTTCTGGTAAAAGTGAAGACTCCTGCCTAAAATCAACTCTCATGGGTCAGTGTGTATTCTATGCTGACAGGAATTCACTGGAAACACTGTAAAATAAATCAGAGATTAAAAACCAAAGAAGTCAGAACAACCCTATGAAAGAAGGAGAATAAAGAGTGACTCCAAGAGAATGCAAAGCCCTCCTATGATCACCTTAAGCATGGAATCACCATATAAGCTGAAATGTGTGACTCTGAATATGTGCTCGTCTAGGTGAGTGTAGTAACATCTAAGTGAACAAACTGATGACAGTAAAAGTTTAAAAGTTTAAAATTACTTTTATAGATTTATCGTAAGTCTAAAAATCTCATTATATTTAGGTCAGCACTAGCTAATAACCAAACAGAAATCACCATGGTTATGTGTGGAAGTTCACAGATGTGAAAGTTGAATAAGTATTCACTTGTTGAATTGTTTTAAAATTTCAAGACTTAGAGTACATCCTTATAGTTAATGCTGTCCTGAGGATAGAGCCTGATAGTCATTAATACAAAAACTCTTATCCCACTTATTCTAAATGAAATTTACACAAAATAGTAATAAAATAAAAATTTTATTCTTTTCTACTTTATTTTGAAAAATATACAGTAGAGCTAATACAAAAGAAAAATATTAATAGATTTAAAATGGTGTTGGTCTGGCATCTGAGTGATAGCATTCCTTCAAAAGAATTTTGTCTGCTACCAGATTCAGAAATCAATTTCTTAAACAAGAAATAAAAAGTATAAAGTTGTTTTACAAAACACAATAATGAAATGTACAAAAGAATAAGAATATTAACACAGAAAAATATAAAATAAGAAGGATCATAAAAGAATATATATCAGAAAATAAAGAATGAAAAAGAAGCAAGATTTTTTTCTAAACTAAAGAAAATCTGAGTTGGTGTGAGTCACTAGCTAGCTGTGTAAGTGACTAATTATACTGGGTTTCAGAGACATTATTATATATAAAATAATAAATTGGACAAGATGACTCCCATAGATTATCCATCCTCTAATATTTTTATAGATTTTTAGGTGGTATAAATGATTTGCATTCAACTACTAAACTAATAGGAAAAAACTTACACACATAAGTAATGATCCTTACACTTATGAATACTACTTACTCCAGGACTCTAATATTTAGAACACCACAACCCAAATACTGAATTTAGTAACATTAAAACAGGAATTGTATGTCTATTACAACTCTCTTCAAATATCAAGAAAAATATACATGAAGCTATATAATCATTAAACATTCTCTTCTGACATTTATCTTTCTTATCTGAAGGCCAGAATTTTTTTTTTTCCTTAGTACAGTGAATCTGGAAGAATGATGACCTAAAATACTGGGGCATTAATTAAGGGACTTGCAGGATGCAGGCAATTACTCTTAAATTGCAAAATAACATGTAAATATAATTCTTTACCAACACAGTAGCTTTAAGATCGGGCTCCATTCTTATTACTCATAAAAATTATGTTATATATTTTAAAATAAAGGAATTAGTTGTCTTCTGTGTTACTAAATTAAACTTTAAGAAGCTATTATAATACTAGTAATAAACTATACAGTTATGTATCCTAATGAAAAGCTTTATCAGGTATTGTCACCAATTATTTAATATCTATGTTCAAGAAAAATATTATCATTTTCCTTTGCTGACAGAAACTAAAAATGAAGTGAAATTGAGCTCACCAGCCACTGGAGAAACTGAAAATTGGAAAACAGAAATCCTAATATCATCAGGTTTAAACCTAAGCAATGCTTCTCCTCAGATATCTAACAAAACTGCACTCTTTCCCCTTCTCATGTACTGGAATAGTAGAAAGCATGTATTTTTCTCAAATCTAAGAGTTGAGTAAAGGGAACAAACGATATAAAGTGGAAATGGAAAACAAGCCACTTTGATTTTTTTAAAGTGGTCTTGGTCTGGCATCTGAGTGATAGTATTCCTTCAAAAGAATTTTATCTACTACCAGATTCAGAAATCAAGAAAAATTATTCTTCCTGTTTGAAGAGGCAACATAGAACACATGACTTCTGGACTCTGAATTTCTGGGCTCTAGCTAAAGCAGACCTGAGACAGACTTTCCCCTTACCTGATCTTTTTTTACTTCTGATGTAGAAGGACCTGCAGCCTCAGTGCTGAGCTTCAAAGAACACTTTTTACAGTGTTGGGAGTCAGAACTAGGCTCCAGCTTATTATCACAATGGAGACATTTATTTTTGTGCTCCATCTCGAATCTTAGATAAGAGATGGTGGACCCACAGAAGTGATCACCATAGACTTTTCTGTCTGAGGTAAAAGCAAGATAGAAGAGGCACAGATCTGGACCTCCTATTTGGTACTATCTCCCCCTGTTGGCACGGAAGTATATCAGTCAGATTTAGATTAAAGGAAAGGATACATCCAACAAATAGTCTTGGTTTACTGAGCAAAAAAGAGAAAACCTTCACGCACTAAGTGAAAATACATTATTTGAGAAATAAATCTTTTTTCTAGTTGATATTTTAAATAAAATAGCTAATATTCTTCCTATATAACATGTAAAAGTCTTTCTATTTTAGGCACTTGGATCTCAAGATCTCTAAGACCAAATTTTCAAGCACTTCTTGAAACAAAAACTTGCAGATAGCTGTGTTAAAAAAACTTTTCTTAATCCAATGCTTTCTTAATTTTATTATTTTCTATTAAGGTATAACTTGACAAAGCTTTATAATTCTCCTGCTTAAAGGAGAAAAAATTAAAACCTAAGTTATGTACAAATTATCTATAGGATCTCAGTAAAAATCCCCTTACAGCCAGTGGGCTTAAAAATTATTTGAAGGCAGCAGCAACAGGTGCACACAATGAGAGTAAGGCAGCAGGCTAAAGCAGCAGTAGGGTATTTGAGATAACTCAAAATCATAAATGTTTAATCTGAAAATCAGACTTCTATTTTGGTAATCTGTTCTATGATAATAAGCACTATTCATGACACTGAAAAAAACCAAAAGTGCCTGAATTTTAGAGTTTACAGACTTAGGGGCAAGCAGGAATTATAGAGGGAGGAAACAGGTGATATACATACATACATACATACATACATACATACACAAACATCATATTTAAATTAGCTAACACATATAATTTCACATATTGAAGTATTTGATGCATGGAAATGCTTAGAACAAACCTACCATGTAGTAAATGTAAGCCAGCAAACTAGTAGTAGTAATAGTCATAGTAGTAGTAGTAGAAGTTATAGTACTGGTGAAGATACTAGAAATAAATGCTATATAATAAAAAAGGGAAATAGGATAAATAATGATAGCAGGGGTAAGGGATAATAAAAGAGCCCATTATAGCTACAGTAGTCAGAAAAGATCACTCATAGGAGTAACATGTAAGCTGAAATGATGAAAAGAAGCCAGTCAGTCATGTGAAGAACAGGGGAAAGAATATTCCAGGGAGAGAAATCAGAAAGTCCCTGTGAGAAGATGTTTGACACACTCAAAATACTCGTTGCCATCAAGTCAATTCCAATTTATAGAGATCCCATGTGCTACAATAGAGTAGAATCAATCCATAGGATTTTCTTGGCTGTAATCTTTATGGACACAGATTGCCAGGCCTTTCTTCCATGGCACCATTGGGTAGGTTCAAACTGTCAACCGTTAGGTTAGTAGTTGAGCACATATCATTTGTGCCATAAATAAAACCTCTGACATGTACCAAGGGCAATAAAAAGACCAAAAATTGCTAGTGTGGTGGATGAGAAGGAGTGGTAGGAGATGATGGGGAAGGTGGAAAGGAACAAGATCATGTAGCACCTTTTAGGCTATGGTAAAAAAAAAAAAAGAAAGAAAGAAAGAATTTTATTCTGGTTACATAGGGATGCTACTGGAGGATCACAAGCAAGAGAAATATAAGATCTCATTTACACATAGAGATCACTCTGCTTACCGTGAAGACAATAAAATGTAGGAAGAACAGAGAGGCTGGCGGAGGTAGTCCAGGCCACAACTTCTGGTGGGTTTTACAAGGGTGAATACAATGGAGATGGTGACAAGAGGTGATGGAGTGATATGAGATTTGAAGAAAAGGGTGGATGCAAAGGTGATTCCCAAGATTTTGGCTTGATCATCAGATTAAAAGTGACACAACTTACTGAAAAGTGAAAGACTATATGAGTTGCAGATTTCAGGGCTTTAAGAAGTAAAATTCAAGGTTATTAGTCCAATTATTTTACTGAATGAAATGAGCAAATTCTTAGCCAATCTTTATAAATGAAGTTCATGTTAAAAGTGTCTTATTCATAAAAATGAACTGTCATACCACTACCTTGTTGTTGTTGACATTAGGTGCTATCGAGCCAGTTCCAACTCATAGTGATCCCATGTACAACAGAACAAAACAAACTTCCATGCCATTCTCACAATCATTGCTATGTCTGAGCCCACTGTTGCAGCCACTGTGTCAATCCATCCCACTGAGCATCTTCTTCTTTTTCCCTGACCCTCTACTTTGCCATGCATGATGTCATTCTCCAGGGACTGGTCCCTCCTGATAACATGTTCAAAGTATGTGAGATGAAGTCCCGCCATCCTTGCTTCTAAGGATCATTCTGGCTGTTCTTCCAAGACAGATTTGTTTGTTCTTTTGGCACTCCATGGTATATAAATATTCTTTGCTAACACCATAATTATAGCATCAATTCTTCTTTAGTCCTCCTTATTTATTGTCCAGCTTTTGAATGCATATGAGGCCACTGAAAATACCATGGCTTGGGTCAGGTGCACGTAGTACTCAAAGTGACTTCTTTGCTTTTTTAACACTTTAAAGAGGTAAAAAGCTACCTTATATGTGATATAATAAAAAAACTAAAATGATACGAATAACTAAAGCATGATTTCTATATATTCAAGAACAATGTTGCAGAATGATGACTTCTGGCTGGCATGTTAAAAATAGAAGGCATTCACATATAAATTTCTAAACTGTATGCGTTTGTTTAATTTTATTTTTAAAACATAAGATGATAAAATGTCTCAATTTCAGAATTTAGTTTTTCTTACACTGAGCTCCAACAGTTGGTAATTTCTTACCACCTTTCCGTATTAGATTATTTAAAAGAACTAAAATATTTTTAAAGCACAATGTAGCCTCCAACATAAAAACACTGGAAAACCACATTCAGGAAGTGGAATGGTAACGTTTTCTTTCATTTTAATTACCACTTATTGAGCTTAGCTATGTGTCAGACATTACTAAAGATTTTACAAACATTATCTCATTTAATTTTTAAATCAAGTCTATGAATTTTTTATACGTTTTTTCTGTAACTTTTTTATAACCAAAATTTACCAACAAGGAAACTTATCTGAGAAAGAATATGTGACTTTGTCCAAGGTCATACTGTTAATAGCATAGAGAGTATCGGAACTAAGGTCTCTGACTACACATCTGTAGGCTTAGCCACAGGCAAGACTGCTTGGATAAAATTTAAACCTTAGCCTCAAAAAATTTTGAGTTTGAATTTGTCAAGTTTCTTAATCTCTTCAAGTTTCAATATCCTCATCTTAAAGGTAAGAATAATAACTCCTTTCTTGCAGGATTGTTTGTCAGTATAAATAATATGATATATATCTAGTACGGTGTCTCACATATTAAAAAAACCAAACCCGTTGCCATCAAGTCGATTCCAACTCAAAGCAACCCTGTGGGACACACTAGAATCACCCCATAGGGTTCCAAGGAGCGGCTGGTGGATTCGAACCGCTGACCTTTTGGTTAGCAGCCAAGCTCTTAACCACTGCACCACCAGGCCTCTGTCTCACATAAAATAAGTAGCAATTAAGAATCAGTTCCTTTCCTTCAGTAATTTTCCTTAAATGACATATTAAAACAACCTAACACACATGACTTAACATTGCCAAATGTTAATGAATCAAACTAACTGTCTCTCAAAGGATGACCTCTCTGGAAATTCTGAATTGTAATAAATACGAAATAAATTTGTTTAGAAGAACCCTCCCTCCAAAATGAAACGTGTTTCATACAATAGCTAAATTTTCAGCACTCTTTAAAAATCTACTTATCTTCAAAAGCTACAGAAAGGTTGATTATATATAAAACAAAAAATAATAATAATGTACATAATTAAGAAAAACCAACTATAAACTAGAAAATAATGAGACATTAATAAGTAAAATATATCATGAAAATTACAAGCAAAAGTTGAACACTATCAATTTCCTTTGATCATCAGGAATATTGTTTAAAAACTGTAACAGGAAACAAGCTTTGAATAACTGCATAGGGATTTTTTTTATAATTTATTTGTTGTTGAGAATATACACAGAACGTACATTAATTCAACAGTTTCTACGTGTACAATTCAGTGACACTGATTACATTCTACAAGTTGTGCCATCACTCTCACCCTCCTTTTCCGAGTTGTTCCTCCCCCATTAACATAAACTCACTGCTCCCTAAGGTTCCTATCCAATCTCTCAAGTTGCTTACGGAGTACTGAGTTTTGGTTCATGGCGATGGAAAATCTCATAGATTAAGGGTAGCGTTGCACAGCCAATCAATGTAACTGCTGTCAGTAAGCTGTACACCTGTTAAAAGTTAAATTAGCAAAAGTTGTGTGATAAATATATTTACAACAACAACAACAAAGAGTAGCTGCTGGAGCTGCTTATGTACAACCAAACACCTCATGGGATTTGGTGCTTTGGTTTGGATGTTTAGGGTCATGGTTTCACGGGACATCCCAGTTAACTGTTCAGTACTTCTGTTCTACCTTCCACAGATGTATAAAAAATTATTTTTTAATATATAAAATCTTTCCAGTATTTTCAAAGAAAATATATGTCATCAGTTTTTAAAAAACAAGCCAGTGGATTTATTAATAAATCCTTCCAGTCTTACAGATCCATTCTCAAACAAGTACAGATAGAATACCTGTAATAGAGAACCTTCCCAGAGAATACAATTATCTACTGCATATCTAAACTTCTGCTGGGAGAAGTAGTACTAAGAGAACTGTTAAAAGCACACTCAGTCCATACATTATTCTAAAAGTCTGATGAATCAATTTATCAGATAGCTGCATTCTTAGGCCCCAAGAGAAGTGATTTTGGTGTTATGGTCTCCACTTCCACTGGGGAATTCGAGATTCTGCAAGAATGGCCTTGTGAATCCCCTTCCTTCATTAGCTATACAAATATCCTGCATTAGCTGTACTGATACTGCCAAGGACACAGTCACTGCAGAGTTCAGTGTTAAAGCCTCCAGTAAGAAATTCTATTAGTACCAAATACAATGAAAAAGCTTTGCTTCCTCTGCAATGTGACATGCTCTCTTTTAAGAGTAAGAGCTATATGACTTTACCACCTTTCTCATTTTGACCTTTGGGAAGCTTACAACCGAAATAATAGCTCTGGCATAGTAACAAGGAGCCCTGGTGACATGGTAGTTAAGCGCTTGGCTGCTAATCGAAAGGTCAGCAGTTTGAATCCACCAGCCACTCAGTGGGAGAAAGATGTGGCAGTCTTCTTCCGTAAAGATTTACAGCCTTGGAAACCCTATCGAGCAGTTCTACTCATCCTATAGGGTCGCTTTGAGTCAGAATTGACTCGATGGCAATGGGTTTGGGAATGGGTAGGCATAGGAACTATACATGCTATGGTCTACACAGTGCTTCCCCAGTCTTTTTATTTTTTTCTTTTGGTGCCATGGAAATGTCATGCCAATGCAGGGTCCCACTTCATTTTATTACAAAACAAATATTATACACTTCTATAGCCATCCATTATATTATTTATTTTCATGCCATTTAATCCTCAAAATGCTGGGGTTTCCAGATCATGAGCACAGATTAGCAAGGTTGACCATATTTCTAAAAGGGACACAATAATAATTCTGCTTACTAGCATCTGTTAGTGATGCCAGCCATGGTTGTGAAATGACCTTACTCACACAGCATGCATACACATACCTCTTAGTGAAAATAAACCAGGTTTTCTGTAAGCAGTTTACAGCTAACTAGGGATCTAGGGGATTCATTCAGGTGTGACATACTACATGGTTAGTGTTTTAGTCATCTAGTGCTGCTATAACAGAAATACCACAATGGCTGGCCTTAACAAAGAGAAATTTATTCTCCAACCATCTAGTAGGCTACAAGTCCAAATTCAGGGCATCGGCTCCAGGAGAAGGCTTTCTCTTCTCGGCTCTGGAGGAAGGTCCTTGTCATCAGTCTTCCCTTGTCTGGGAGCAACTCAGTACAGGAACCTCAGGTCCAAAGGACATGCTCTGCTCCCAGCACTGCTTTTTTGGTGGTATGAAGTCCCCAACTCTCTGCTTGCTTCCCTTTCCTTTTGTCTCTTGTAAGATAAAAGGCGGTACAGGCCACACCCTAGGAAAACTCCCTTTACAATGGATCAGGGATGTAACCTTAGTAAGGGTGTTACACAATCTTACCCTAATCCTCTTTAACATAAAATTACAATCACAAAAAATGGAGGACAACCACACAATACTAGGAATCATGGCCCAGCCAAACTGATACACACATTTTTGGGGGAACATAATTCAATCCATGACAGTTAGGAAAGAAAGCACTGACACAGATTTACTGCTGTCATGACCAGTAAGCCTTTTTTTTTTTAAAAAAAAAAAAAAAATTATCTACTATTCTTTTCATTTTCTTTTTTTTTTTTAAACTCCTTTTCACTGTCTCCCTCATTCTCTGGTAACCAATAAAATCCTCTTTTGTCTAGATGGATTTACCTATTCTAAATATTTCATATAACTGGGATCAGATAAAATTTGTCCTTTTCCATCTGGCTGATTTCACCTAACATAGTGTTTTCAAGGTTCATCCATATAGTGGCAGGTATCAGAACTTCATTTCTCTTTACAGCTGGACACTACTCCATTGTATGTGTATACTACACTTCGTTTCTCCATTCTCCTGTTGATGAGCATTTGGGTTATCTCCAACTTTTAGTTATTATGAATAATGCTGCAAAGAAAACTGGTGTAAATGTGTCTGAGACACTGCTTTTAATTCTTTGGGGTTAAATTCTAAGAGTGGAATTTCTGGGTCATATAGCATATCTATGTTAAACTTTTTTAGGAACCACCAAACTGGTATAGGATCGACATACAGATCAATGGAATAGAATTGAGGATCCCTAGTCTTGATATACTGGTTCTGATTTTATTTTCTATTTACATTTTCCTCAATTTTGTTGTTGTCATTAGCTACCTCATATAGTCTGGGGAATAAGGCAAGAATAGAATGAATGACTAAAGTCACACAAGTACACAAACTAGAAAATATTAAATCTATACCAAAAAAAGCCTTGTA